TGGTTTCGAACTCCTGAGCTCAAACGATCCACCTGCCTCGGCCTCCCAGACAGCTAGGACTACAGGCGTGAGCTACCGTGCCCAGCCCTGAGTTAGTTTTTGTTGACTGCTTAAAATAAGAAATGATGTTAAAGCCAGGGCTTGGGTGATCATGTGTACAATAAAGCAGGAAAGGGAGGGAGGAGAGGGGAGGGGGGAAGATGCAGCAGGTGTAGAGGGAGAAACAGAGACGATTTTTGCTTGTAGTGAGACAGAGACAGCAGCCTGTGACAAGGCTGCTTCCAATCTAGCCAAAGTTTTTGTTCTTGGATTCTAGAAAACATCCTTACGTATCTCCAAGAAAACCTCCTTTTTGCTGAAGCTAGTTTGAATGGACTTCTGTTCCCTAAAGCCAAATGTTTCTGACTCAGGGAATGGCAACACCTCAGTCTGAATCTACATTTCCTGAGTCCAAAACTGGCTTATTTTATTGAATCACCAGTGAAACCTAATAATGTTTATTAGAAAAATTAAGAAATTAGCCATCTTTAAGTTCATATGGTGTGCAGTCATAATATTCTTCAAACCTTCCCAGGAATATCAAAGTCAATCATGACAACTTAATTTTAGTGTCAAATAAAGCCAGATGCTCATAAGCACATGTGCATATGTTACTTATGAAAATATAAAACAAAATATTCCTAGGATTTACTCAGATGTCCTGTTCGTTTAGTTAATATTCAGAGTATTTGTCCTTGGATTATAGTACTCACAATCTCTTAGGTCATATAATGTTCTACTATGCCCCTCATCATTAATTACATTTTGTTATTAAGCACAAGTCTGTTTGAACAGCTACATGGTATGTGCATTGATCCTCTGGAAAGAAATTGCTAATAATGGTAACACTGTCATGACACTCCTCTTTTATGTGTAGATAATGTGTGCAATTATTTGCTGTCCCCAGTCTTTCTCTTTAGAGCAAAAAAAATCATTCCATTAATATTACTGATGGTTTGGTGATACTTAGCACCTATGAAGGTCTTGGGGATTGAGATACTATGAAAGATATTAGTTTTTTGATATGCCTGTCTTGGACTCATGCCGGCTGCTAAGAAACATGGTGCCAAGACTCTCAACAATCAGGAGGACTCAACTGTCTACACTGCCAGTGCCTTTGCCTTAAACTTAGGAAGACAGGAGGTACCAAGAGAAGCATGTACCCAACAGAAAACATGGACTCAAGAGAGGTAGACTTCCTTGTTTTTAGAAGATAAGTTTTCTATAATTGTCCAAGTTAGAAAAAACAAAATTTAGAAAATTATTTTGGGTGTTTTTTGAGACAGAGTCTTGCTCTGTTGCCCTGGGTAGAATACAGTGGCGTCATCACAGTTCACTGCAACCTCAAACTCCTGGGCTAGAGTGCTGTGTTAATATCTTGTATAACCAAACTAAGATAACATTGGTATAATACTATTAACTAAACTAGACTGACTTTACCAGTTTTCCCCCTTGTGTCCTTTTTCTGTTCCAGGATTTAGAACAGGATCTCACATTGCATTTGACTGTCATCTCCTTACTCTCCTCCAACCTGTGACAGTTCCTCAGCCTTTCCTTGTCTTTCATGACCTTGAAACTTTTGAAGAGTACTGGTCAATTTTTTTTTTTTTGAGACGAGGTTTCCTTATATTGTCCAGGCTGGATTCAAACTCCTGGGCTCAAGCAAATCCTCCTTCCTCAGCCTCCAGAGTTAGTTGGACTACAGCTGTGAACCACCGTGCCAGGCTTGGTTAGATTGAGGTTATGCATTTATAACGATAATACTGCAGAAGTGATGTACTCTTTTCAGTGTTCATGTCAGGGGTGCATGATATTGATTTGTCTTATTACTAGAAATGTTAACCTTGATCATTTGGTTAGGGTGGTGTCTGCTGGGTTTCTCTACTATTAAGTTACTATTTTTCTTTTCTTTTTTATTTTTTCAGAGAGAGGGTCTCACTTTGTTGGCAGAGCCAGAGTGCACTGGCGTGATCACAGTTCACTGCAACTGTGATCCTCCTGCCCTATCCTTCAACTAGCTTGGGACTACAGGAGTGTACCACGACGCCTGGCTAATTTTTAAAAAAAAATTGTTTGTAGAAACAGTGTCTCTCTGTGTTGCCAGGCTGGTCTTGAACTCCTGGCCTCAAGCAATCCTCCTGCCTTGGCCTACCAAAGTGCTAGGATTACAGGCGTAAGCCAATGCACCAGCCTGTTTTTCTCTTTGTAGTAAATAAATTCTTGGGAGACACACTTTGAAACTATGTAAATATCCTGGGTTTGCCTCAAACTTTCAACTATTTTTTCTACTTCATTCCTCTACATTTATTAATTGGAGCACTTCTGTAAAAAGGAGCTGTTCCATTCCTCCCATTCATTTATTTATTTTCTTATTTTTTTGAGAAAATAATGTCAAAGAAATTAATTCTTTTTTTAATATTGGAATGGACTCATGGATATTTATTTTATTCTGAGTTACGCTCCAATTCTATCATTATTTCTTTTGTTGCTCAAATTGTTCCAGCTTTGGCCACTGGCAGCTTTTTCAGGTTGGCTCCTGTGTCCTTTTGATATGACCTTATCATTTTCTGAGTACTTCCCGACTTTCTAACACCACAAGATACACGAGGCTCATCCTATATTTGCGTTACCTCAGCCCTGGAATCATCCACTTCTCTAGGGAGCCTTGATTCCTTTCATTAAGGAGAAACCAATATGTGGGTGTTAGGTGTGCTCATTGCTACTGGGGTAGTACTACTTCTAGGCCCTCGCAATGCAAAGAGCTTGGAAATAAATCAGTGATTGTCACGGGTAGGGAACTGGGAGAGGAGATAATTAAAAAGAAGTAGCATAGGGACTTTTTGGGGTGATAGAACTGCCCTATATCACGATTGTGCATTTGTAAAATCCACAGAACTACACACAAAGAGTAAATTTTACCGTATATAAATTTAGGAAATACAAAAGAGCAATCAGGATGTTGAGGGAAACAAAAATAAAATAAAAACTAACAAAAAAACCTAACTATATTACAAATGAATAATATAACCACAATGAAGGGAATGGATAAAAAAAAAAGAACTAACTCTAAGTTACAGAAAACAGTATTTTAACTAGATACTGAAAGGCTAATGATAAAAGAAACTAGAGCTGCACACAAACACTATGCTCTAAAGTAAACTTGATTCTCACAGTGGTATGGGTTAGCAATTCGAAAATGACTTTATGTCTATACTAGGGCTACACAAATAAGGAAATATACTATAGCTAATGAGAGGCATGTTTCTCACCATTGGAGAAGGAAATTACAAGTAAGGAAAGGGTGAAGGCTAGCATGATCCTTGTGGCATTGAATTGGAATCAGAGATGTCATGATAAACTCATGGTTTAAGATACATGTGTGTGTGTACATATAAAAATATATATACACACATATAAAGACAAATAGAAATAAATATAGACATATGTATAACTCATGCACTATGCAGGAGTTAGTAAACATACATATATTTCAGGCCTGTTTTGTGTGTTTTACATTTATTATCTCATTGAATCTTTACCCCAACATTTTGAGAGAGAAGCATTATTATTATCATCCCCATTTACAGGTGATAAAACTGAGAGTGTAAGAAATTGCCACAAGCTACAAAGCTAGTGAGCAGCAGAGCTGAAATACAAACCAGTATAGGCTGGTTCTGAAACCCGGAGTCTTTTTCTTTTGTTGTTGTTCTTTTAAGATACTGTCAAGAAGCCCAAGGTCTTACCCAACATGCTATACTGCCTCTTATCAAGTGAGGAGAGTAAATCTAAGCAAGACCTCCCTTCTCCCCCAAAACCAACATGAAGTAGATAAAAGTAATTAAGTAAGAATTGGAACGAGCAGGGTAGCCTTATGTGATGTGATCATCTCCTAATTAGGTTTCAGAAGTTTGACGAGGTCACAGCTGCAAAGCTGTCAACAACCATCACCTTAACGTGATGGCTACTGTGAAATCACTGTAGAGCACATGTGGGTTTATGTTTCTCTTAAGAAAACTGGGATTATTTTCTCCTCATACTTATAAGTATCCCTCTTCTGCTGACCATCGAAAGGAATTATAAACCATATAAGGACAACAACATTCATTTACCAAGGAATACTGACATTTAAGATATAAATTGATTCAGATGACAACCACCATTCAGTGAACTCTTAGTATGAGCCAAGTATTTCTTTAAACTTTTGACATGGACTAACTCATTTGATTCTCATAACAATCCTATGAGATAGGTAGTGTTTCTAATCTATATGAGAGATGGGAAAACTGAGGCACAGAGAAGTTATGAAAATTGCCTAAGGTCACACAGTAAGTGGTCAAGCCAGGATGTATTACCACTATACTATGCTGCCACTCATAAGAGTCATACTTTGTAAGAGTTGACTAAGCACTGTACCTAAAATATTTAAAAGAAAAAAGTCTCTGCCTTCCTTAATCAATAAATCCATTTTAGATATCTTGATGCCTTCTGAAGATTTCTAAGACCAGTAACTGAAAGTGATAATTCTCAGATTTGTATTCACTTCAATCTAAATCTATCTGATAGTAATTTTTCTGCTAAGTAACCTGCGATTATTTGCAGATTTTTTTGTTTGTATCTGTGGCAGCAGGTATTTAAGGTAGTTTTAAAAAACTGAACAAAAGAAGTTATAAAATAGTTTAGAGATGCTTTAAAACTCTTCTCAGCTTCTTCCCTTTGGATTTAATGTCAGGAAATCATATAATAGTATAAAAGTAAAATAAAAATTATAAAAAGTTCTTTCTTCAGAATACATAAGCAAAAAACACACATAATCATAATTATTTGAGTAATTTAGGTGAAAGTCATAAAATACTTCAAAGTTATTACCATACGCTAACATATGTAACAAATACCTCATGTCTTGAATAAGAGAGACCCTGAGTGTTGGTAATATAACTCCTGAGTCAGATTTTCTTCTTTCTGGTCCAAGGGCAACTATGCAGAAAAATATCAGCAAAGTATTAGAAAATGATCTACATGGTTCACACTCTATAAATAAATACTTTGAAACTGCTGGTAAGAACAAATTTCAAAGACAATAGAAAAGCTCAAATTCTTTTTCCTGAATGTTGCTACTTTATTAATACAGTAAATTAGCTGTTTTCTTTCTAGTTAATCTGGGGTTGTATTTAGAAATTTAAAATGAATCATAAAAGCCCACCTAGCAAATATTGCTGGCCATAAGGACCAGTCATTTTCTAGCTATTCATTCTAATAGCAAAAAAACCCACCAATATTAAACACTGTTTTAAAGTATTTTAATATATACTATCACAACTAATTAGAATTATCCTTTGAATTTTTTTTAATCTTAATTTTGCAAATGAAGAAACTAAGGCTCAAAGAGGTTTAAGAAATGTGACCAATTGTATAAATTTATTATAAGAAACAGAGTGTTCTGGTGTTGTGTCCAGTGGGCTTTCCACTCATTACACACGACTTTCTGGCTTCTAGCTTGACTGAGAGGAGGGTGCTGATGCCATTAAATAAGACAGAGAGAATAGAGAAAGCCTGACAGGTACAGCAGGGAGAGGTGCTGAGATAATGAGTTTGTTTTAAAATGTGCTGAGTTCCTATATCCATCTTTGGATGCCTAGAAACTAGGGCTGGAGAAAGAGATTTGGGAATAATCTGTTAATGTAATAGGTGGATGATGACACAGAATTAGGCCAATAGTAGATGTTGTGGTTTGCACTGTGCCCCTACAAAGATGTTGAAGTCCTAACCCTTATCAGTACCTCTAAATGTGATGACCTTATTTGGAAACAAGGGTCTTCGGAGATGATCCAGATGGGGTCGTCAGAGTGGGCCCTAACCAGTGTTACTGGTGGCCTTCTATATAAAAGGGAAATTTGGACACAGGGACAGACACACATAGAGGAAAGACAATGTGAAGACAGAGGGAGAATGCCATCTACCATCCAAGGAATGCCTGAAACTACTGGAAGCTAGGAGAGAGGAGCGAAACAGGTTCTTTCTCACAGTCCTCAGAAGGCTCCAACCCAGCCAACACCTTGATTTTGGATTTCTATCTTCCAGAAATGAGACAATAAATTTCTGTTGTTTAAGCCACTCAGTTTGTGGCACATCATTATAGCAGACCTAAAAAACTAATACAATAGTTTATTACTGACTTTGGAAAGAAGAGTTCAGAAGCCTGTGAGTAGAACACAGATTAGGGGTTATGAAATGAAGCCATAGCTTTTATGTGGAGATCTATAATAAAATCTAAGAAGATTTCCATGATGTCTACTCCAGCCAGAAAAGAATTTTACAAGCTATTTAAATGTATACTTTCATTACTATTTCTTAATTCAAAATACTCAAAATGCAATAGGCCACTTTCTCCTTCAACGTAAAGATTCATGAATTTTTTTTTTTCTTTTTTTGAGATAGGGTCTCGCTCTGTTACTTGGGCTGGAGTAGAGTGGCATCATCACAGCTCACTCCAACCTCAAACTCCTGGGCTCAAGCAATCCTCCTGCCTCAGCCTCCTCAGTAGCTGGGACTATAGGTGCGCACTACCATGCCTGGCTAATTTTTCTAGTTTTTTGTAGAGATGGGGTCTCGCTCTTGCTCAGGCTGGTCTCAAACTCCTGGGCCTCAAGCAATCCTCCAGCCTCATCCTCCCAGAGTGCTAGGATTACAGGTGTGAGCCACTGTGCCTGACAAGATTCGTGTATTTAATACTTGGCCACAGGAATTCCCTTTGTATATCTGCCTGAATCAATGCTACTGCACAGAGAGTAAGTTTGAAGAGGGCAGAGACTGCATATATTATTTTTACAGAACCATATACAGTCTGTAGGTAGGTAAGTAATTAAAAGAAAATTTCTGATGAAGATAGGATGATTTAAGACTGACTTAAAACTCCCGGGCTAGATCCAGAATAACCATTTAAAAGTAGCATTTCCATCCCCTTCTGTGCCCAGCCCCTTGCCAAGTGATTTAAAAATCCATTTATAGTTGAGTAGTAGAACCTTGTCTGAGGCTTGTCTGAGGGGACAAGGTTTAAGAACTCACCAACATTTGCAAAGATTGAAACTTTTTGGTGATACATCAATAACAGTCCTTGTTCTAGGACCAGTTGCATTCTGAGATTCTTTCTCAGAAACAGGACTTCAACTACTAGGTGCAGGGATCACTAGGTCAAATTAATAGTCTACACATTATGGTCCTCTTGCCAAGACAGACCCTTCCCACTCCTCTACAACTCTTAAAATGTCTCTTGATTCCTGTTTAGTGCTGCTTCTGAAGAAGGACGGTAATTACGTATGATCGAGTCTCAGAGTGGCTCGATGCTAGTAAGAATAGTGTTTATTCATTTATTTATTTTTTTGAGACATAGTCTCACTGTGTTGCCCGGGCTAGAGTGCCGTGGCATCATTCTAGCTCACAGCAACCTCAAACTCCTGGGCTCAAGCAATCCTTCTGCCTCAGCCACCCAAGTAGCTGGGACTACAGGCATGCGCCAGCATGCCCGGCTAATTTTTTCTATATATTTTTAGTTGTCTGATTAATTTCTTTCTAATTTTAGTAGAGACGGGGTCTTGCTCTTGCTCAGGCTGGTTTCGAACTCCTGAGCTGCCTCGGCCTCCCAGAGAGCTAGGATTACAGGCGTGAGCCACCGCGCCAGCCAAGAATAGTGTTTAAATCCGCCGTGAATGTCTGAGGATCTATCCTTTGTGTGACAATGCAGACTGTTTACTACCATTAATTAGAAAGCTTAATAATTGGCAAACAAAAAGTACTTTTTGGGCAAAAAAATCCGTATTTAAAACTGCTAATTTTTGGCCGGGCGCGGTGGCTCACGCCTGTAATCCTAGCACTCTGGGAGGCTGAGGCGGGTGGATCGCTCAAGGTCAGGAGTTCGAGACTAGCCTGAGCAAGAGTGATACCCTGTCTCTACTAAAAAATAGAAAGAAATGATCTGGGCAACTAAAAAAATATATACATATAGAAAAAATTAGCTGGGCATCATGGCGCATGCCTGTAGTCCCAGCTACTCAGGAGGGTGAGGCAGAAGGATTGCTTGAGTCCAGGAATTTGAGGTTGCTGTGAGCTAGGCTGACGCCACAGCACTCTAGCCCCAGCAACAGAGCGAGACTCTGTCTCAAAAAAAAAAAAACAAAAAACAAACAAACAAAAAAAATCTGCTAATTTTTTCATAATTAGAACACTGTATTGTTTCTCAAGAATGAAATATTTCTTTTTTAAAACTGATGTTTTTATACATATTTCACACTCTCATATTTTTATGTCTTAACTTCCTGGGCTGAATCACCAGTAGTGTTAGAGCAATGTTTATAAAATCCACCCCCCTAAACAGACAGTAAACTTTGATTTCAAAAGGTACATGGCTTAATCTTACTTATGATCAGTAAAATATCTAACTTTGTTCACTCTTACATCACTAGCCCTTCATCAACATTTGCCAGTACGGCACAGAGAGTAACTACATGAGGCTTGGACACATTTTATATTTCTTAGCCTTGACTTCAGAGTTTTGCCAGTACCACAACTGACTGAAGGCCACTGCAAACAGCCAGGAGTCTGGTCTCTGAATGAACCATTCAGCATTTGAACAGCCACAGCCATGAAAACTGCTGGTGTTGCCCAGTAGCTGCCCATTCTAACAGCTGGACAAGCCAATCACGGTGGTGTGTGCCGTAGTCCTGGCTACTCAGGAGGCTGAGGGAGGAGGATTGCCTGAGCTCAGGAGTTCAAGGCTATGATGAGCTATGATCCTGTCACTGCACTCCAGCCCGGGCAACAGAGTGAGACACGGTCTCTTTAAAAAAAAAAATTGACTAAAGCGCTAGACGTAACTCACATGCTTCATTTGGAATAAGAGCTAAATGCTTCCACCTCCCTGTCTTAACTAAGCTTGGCTTTCCAACATTTCACCCTACAAATGGCTATTTCTTCCTAGGAATTTATTTTTTTCTAATTAGACTAAGCTGCCTTGGTTATGGTCTTATGATCTGAACAGCTATATTTTCTGTTAAAGACAGTTTTGGGGCATATGCCAATGCATTTTTACTTTTTTAAGAGAAAAAGGGGCAGAGAAGATAGACACTAGAGAATGCTTTTAAACTTGATCTGAATCTGTAAATATAGTCACAGGCTGGGACAGCAGAACCTTGACATTCTGGTTAGAGGAGCTCTAGGGCAATGTTGCCTCGAACTCATATTCCCAGCTGTCTGACTACATAAATTTAGAAATTAGGTTTCCAACAATAAACCCCACATTTAGGGTAGTGTTGTCTTCTAGGGGCAGTGAGGGAAAGTGAATTAGGGATGAATACATTCTAATTCAATCATGTTTGAGATGCATTACTTTATTTATTTATTTAATTATTATTATTTTAGAGATGGGGGTCTCACTATGTTGCTTAGGCTGGAGTGCAGTGACTATTCACAGGCACAATCATAGCTCACTGCCACCTTGAATTCCTAGGCTCAAGCGATCCTCCTGCCTTAGCCTCCCAAGGAGCTGAGACTATAGGTGTGCACCACCATGCCCAGTCACTATTTCTTAAGCTAGTGGTTGGCTTATGAGTTCTTAAAAATATTATTTTTTTTACATTTCTGAATGTCTAAAATAATCCATGATTTTAGAAAAGGTTCCCAAATGGCTGACTCAATATAATACATTTTATCTCTATTAGCTTCCCACTGTGTCACTTCTACTTTTTCTTTTTTTTTTTTGAGACAGAGTCTTGCTTTGTTGCCCGGGCTAGAGTGAGTGCCGTGGTGTCAGCCTAGCTCACAGCAACCTCAAACTCCTGGGCTCAAGCAATCCTTCTGCCTCAGCCTCCCGAGTAGCTGGGACTACAGGCATGTGCCACCATGCCTGGCTAATTTTTTCTATATATTTTTAGTTGTCCAGCTAATTTCTTTCTATTTTTAGTAGAGACAGGGTCTCGCTCTTGCTCAGGCTGGTCTCGAACTCTTGGCCACAAGCAATCCTCCTGCCTTGGCCTTCTAAAGTGCTAGGATTACAGGCGTGAGCACCACGCCCGGCCTCACTTCTACTTTTTGTGAAATAGATGGTTATTTTACATAAAGAAAAAGCAAGCTCCTTGTGAAAAATACATAGTAGGTAGAATATTTAGCTTAAGTAACACTACATAATTCTAATTAGTTAAAAAAAAGTGTTAGACATTTCTAACATATATTTTCTATAAACTGAAGAATTCAAAAATCCTAAAGACTGAGACATATATACATATTTTTCCCTGAAAGATCATTAATGATGCCATACAACTTTTTTTAAAGAAAATAATCAGTATACACCACACCCTAATACTGGTGAGAGTAAGGAATACTTGTATGGTCCTTTACGATTCATTGGAGATTTTCACATGTTACCTTATGTGATCAACATGACAGCTTTGGCATAGCTAATATTATTCTCCCTATCTTACAGATGAGGAAGCAGGAGATCAGAAAGGTCAAATGACTTTTCCCAGGTCTCACAGCTAGTAAATAATATTGCTCCTTCTACATTATCCCACTACTGGCAAGATGGCGTTAAGTTTTAGCTTGAGAAAGAGATCAAGACAATCATTGACATAGTGTTGCTATACAGTATTGATTCTCCTCAATGTCCAATGCTGCCAGTTTTATAGAAACGATTAAACCAATGATCTCTCACCTGGTGATTCTGCAAGGTGCTCTTGCTTCTCTTCTCTGTCCTGAAATTGAATTAGGTGTGACCACAAAGCTGACTTTCCCTGAAAGTACAAGGTACATAAAAATGTTCATTTTGTAAGAAATAATTAATCAAAAAATAATTTCTCATTAAAATCATTCACATTAAATAGCCATTTAGAAGTTTGGTGACACAATCTCATCCATGCCAAGCTGTGTGACATTCTGAGCATCTCACTCCATGTGTTATGAAAGTCATGCTTTGCCTCACTGAGAAGGTTAGCAAGAACCAGGAGAAGAGAAGCAACTAAGCAGAAGGTCAGAAGGGCGGGCACAGAGATGTCTGATGTCAGCTCAGGCCTTTCTTATTTGTATGTAATTAGGGCTGTCTACACTGGCCACATTAAGTAACCATGGAATTAAAAGGCTCCAGCAGCATAAAATGTGTTTGTGTACATCCATATGTAAAATATGTTTAGATATATAGAGTGGAGACGAGGGGAAAAATTGGGGTGAGAGGAGAAAGAGAAAAGAAACATGCACACATCAAGAAAAAATCAGAAAGGGAGACTAAACACACAAAAGTAAAGAGAGCATTTGAATTTTTCCACCCTGAATTATTAGATAACTTAAAACAGTATAGAACTGTTAATTCTGGCTAGTAGAATTTTTTCCTGGAGAGTGCCAAAGCAGACATTTAATGGAATCTCAATCCCTGCATTTAATGGGGATACAGTCTCTGCAATGAATGTGGCAGATTTCTAGTTATCCTGTGACAAAGGAACATATGATTTTTTCGACATCTTTTCCTCCTTGTTACATTTCTTAACAGGGCTCCTAACTGGCCATGTCACCAGGACCTCCTGAGACTGTTACCTGCTTGACCTGCAAGCCATGACTCCATATCCTCTCTAGTAGGTCACAGAGGCTGGCGATCAAGGTGTTCTCCTCCAAGCCAGTGATGTTTGCTTCTCCATGGCCCAGTTCCACTGCTTCGTGTCCCATCTTTTCCACCAGCATGCGTTTTGTCTGAAAATGTCACATGTGGTCAGAAGTTAACCCAGCAGTGAAACCAAAACCCAACAAATCGATTACTGGAATAGGAGACCTGGCTTCCCTTCACGATACTTCTAATTGTGTATTTTTAATCACCTTGGGAAAAATACCTTCTTTTTTTTTTTTTTTTGAGACAGACTCTCACTCTGTTGCCGGAGTAGAGTGCCGTGGTGTCAGCCTAGCTCACAGCAACCTCAAACTCCTGGGCTTGAGCAATCCTACTGCCTCAGCCTCCCGAGTAGCTGGGACTAGAGACATGAGCCACCATGCCTGGCTAATTTTTTTTCTATATAGATTTTTAGTTGTCCAAATAATTTCTTTCTATTTTTAGTAGAGATGGGGTCTCGCTCTTGCTCAGGCTGGTCTCGAACTCCTGACCTTGAGCAATCCACCCACCTCGGCCTCCCAGAGTGCTAGGATTACAGGCGTGAGCCACCGCGCCCGGTGTGGGAAAAATACCTTCTTAATCTCTGTGGTCAACTAACTGGAGTAATATCATCTATATTTTACTATTTTGTTAGAGAAATGGAGGATGACCAAAAAGAAAATAATATACTATTTATAAAGCATCGTCCTACGCTTAGTTTGACTGCACTTAGGTAAAAACCACAATATAAATGGGCAGCTCTAAGTTTTTTGAGAACTCTAATTAGTGAGTGAACCAGGACTCTTTTTTTTCCCTTCCTCTTTTATTTCTTCTTTTCTCATGGGTATGCACCAAAAAATGGAAAGGAAATGGAAATGAGTTTCATGTAAGATAATTTGCATCAGTCTTAGCAGTGCTTATAAAATGTAAGTGAGAGAGGATCTAGTTTTTTTTTTTTTTTTTTTTTGAGACAGTCTCGCTCTGTTGCCCAGGCTAGAGTGCTGTGGCATCAGCCTACCTCACAGCAACCTCAAACTCCTGGGCTCAAGTGATCCTTCCTGCCTCAGCCTGCCAAGTAGCTGGGACTACAGACTGGCACCACCACACCCAGCTAATTTTTTCTATTTTAGTTGCCTAGCTAATTTCTTTCTATTTTTAGTAGAGATGGGGTCTTGCTCTTCCTGAGGCTGGTCTGGACCTGACCTCAAGTGATCCTCTCGCCTCGGCCTCCCAGAGTGCGAGGATTACAGGCATGAACCACCACGCCTGGCCAGGATCTAGTTATTTTAGGCAGTTCCTTTAGTTCCTTATCTGTCTGATTCACTACTATATACTGATGCTGAAAACAGTGCATTTATTGAACATGCAGAGAAGGTATCTAAGAAATGACTGTCTAAAAATGAATGAAATTATTGGCTAAAATGATGTTTTGAGTTTTGTTAATTTATACTGCTATCTCCGACAAACACAGATATCTGAGAGGAGACTTGGTGTGCAATACATACTACGACACAGCTAAGGTCTTTTTCCTTATGGGTATACAAACACACGCATGGGCACAGATAAGGTTGTACATAGGTATATACACAGACTTAAAAAATATGTTGTCATTCACACAAGGTGACAACATTCCTGACACAACCTATGGGTGGTTTAATACATCTGTCTATGCTGGAGAGGAGGACAGCCATGGCTGAAAAGGTGAAAAAAAACCATGCAGGGCTCCCATGTCATTCATTCTGTGGACAATGGAGAACCCACGGAGGTTCAATACCTCAGTAAAGAGCACATGAGCTCTATGTCATGGTAAAAGTTTTCGTCTAGGAAAGTTACAGGCTCAAATGGGGGTTGACCCTGCTCATCTTAGCCTCACACATGGTGCAAACATGAATGCATGCTCTCTGGCATCAGTGAGTCATACATACCTTCATTCTACATTCTTTTAATAAGCCTTCTACAAATTTCCAGTTGGTCTGTGCAATCACTGCAGGAGACAGGTCTGACAATTTGGGTTGCCTCAGGTTTTTTCCTAAACTTCGTGCCTCTTGCATATATTTCTAAAAATTAAAGAGCATTCTTAATGCATAAACATTAGATATCCTTCTGATTTTCTTAACTTACACAAACATGTGTAGGAACAAACAAGATGCAAAAAAGGCCATACGTGTATGTGTGTAACAGTAATTAAAGTTTCAGTGCACCAAAAGGCAGAGAACACTTGTACTCCACTCCCATCCCCCACAAACTGTTAATGCCTGTGAAAAAGAGGGTGACAGAAACCCCATCAGGTTAAAACTCATTCAAAATGAGATGAAGTTTCAATTAGGTTGGTCTTTTTACTGGAAACACCCAAGGTAGTGATTAGTCAAGATTGTGGCTGGGATGAATACATTTGGGTGTCTGGATTATAAATCCAAGGTTCTGTAGGAGTCCAGTTGTCCACAGGTCACTGGTTTTCTCCATTCCTCTCCCCATGCAGCAAGAAACCGAACATGCCTCCAGCCTCTTGGGCAGTGCTCTCCAACCTAACCCTGTGTTCTATAACCAAGTCACAACAGTAAAATCATGAGGGCTAGAATCTGGTTGTAACTAATTTTATGACCTCAGGCATAACGACTGTGCATCTCAGCTTATTTGCTAAATGGGCATAAAACATGCCCATCTACCTCATAAAAAGGCCATAAGATCACTCTGAACAGCATGATGTGCTCCAAATGCAGGAGGCCTCTTCCTTCTGTTACATGTTTGCTAAAGCCCTCCCTTGCCTTGCTCCATAATCAAGAGAAAGTGGGACCATAGTGTTACTTTCAGAGTCTGTGGTGACTCTGAGGTACCACAGAAACCTACTTCCAATGTTCCTGAGCTTTGGTTGGTGAATTTCCACTTAAAAAAAATCACTACACGTGAATAATACAAGACACATGGTTCCCTCTTCTTTCTATGCTACCTGTAAATGTCTGTCTAGATACCTTATGTTTACATCAGGATCACAGGGCAGAATCCCCAAAAAGTCCAAGTGTCTTAGGACCATATTTAGACAGTAACTGCTCTGAATTATATAGTAAAACTAGCAGTTTTGTGTGTGTGTGTGTGTGTGTAAGAGAGAGAGAGAGAGACACACACACACAGAGAGAGAGAGAGACACTGAGATTGCAAGCCAGCACATCCTCCCACGGGTACATATGTGAAATCTATCCTCACCATCTTAAGAGGAGAACTTCGTATTGTAAGAAAAGATCTGTAAAACCCTTTGCATTCTTTAAATAAAAGGGAGTTTGTACATTTAATATAGTTCCCCTTTAGAAGAGCAATAATCTGCTAAATCTGGTACAAATAAAAAAATTCTCACTGATCGGGAATTCAATTGATCAATTTACCTGCTACTTCCTAACCTTCATGATGAAAGGCAATGTTAACAAAATAATCTGTTTCTTTTCCAGTCCAATCATTTTAAGGAAAGATTTAAAAACCAAATGAACTCTTCAGGCATTTAATTCCCACAGCACTTATGTATACTTTTTGCTTCAAATATTTTAAGAGGGTCACAGAAAGAAGGGAAAAGAAAGAATGAGTGACAACTATTATTAATAGGGAAGTTAAATGCAACAGGTTTATAGAAACATTCTGAAGGGTAGTTTTCAAATAAATATAGGAAATGAAAACAGTTTCATAGAAATCAACCTGAGATACAGGGCAGGGACTCTATATAAGAATTATAATATTTGCATTTCCTGTTGTTTCAGGTTGTACTAATGTTACCCAGAATAGTAAATACTAGAGATAAGAGGATAGTGAAAGCAAACATTAACTGTTAAATGTTTAAAGGATTCTTTTTCCCCTAGCCTCAACTCTTCCATTTTTAGGACTTATGCAAATGTAGAACCACTACAAGACTCAGTTCTCCACAAGACTTAAGTATCAAACTTAGCTTAGGAAGAAATATACGGGCTAGAATAAAAGGAGTGAGGGATATGGTTAGGCAACAGACTGGGAAGAAATCATTGGCATTTCTCTTTTTTCTGAAATATATGAATAAGAG